GCTAGCATTTTTACTGCTGAATTGTATGCCATTCTTGCAGCACTTATTCGTATCGCATCTATGCCTATGTCATCATTTGCGACTGTCTCAGATTCCCTTAGTGCTCTACAGACTATACGAAAATTTGATACACCTCTCCCCCTAGTTCTCCGTATCCAACTTTGGCTACGCCGTATCTCTACCAAGCATAAAGATATTGCTTTTTGTTGGGTCCCTGGTCATGTCGACGTACAGAGCAATGAACGGGCAGACACTGCTGCGCTGTCAGCAGTACATGACCTACCAATTTCATATAGAGGTGTTCCATTTCTGGACTATTTTGCTGTAATAGCTACCCACCTTCACACCCGTTGGCAACAACATTAGTCAACTCTGCTCGGTAACAAACTTCATTCTATTAAACTGAGCGTAGGTTACTGGCCGTCTTCTTGTCATCAGTGCCGAGGTTGGGAGACTACTCTCTCCCGCCTTCGCATTGGCCACACTCGTCTTACTCATGGGTATCTCATGGAGAGGCACCCTGTTCCTCTCTGTGAGCAGTGTCAAGTTCCAGTATCGATTAGCCACATTCTGTTCGACTGCCCTCTCTATCAACGAGCACGCAGAATTTACCTCCAACGTCGTCTCCGCTCTACTACTCTCTCTTTACCTTCCCTTTTTGCTGATGGACCCTCCTTTAATCCTGACTCTCTCATTGACTTCTTGAGAACGACTGATTTACTTCACAAACTCTGATGATGATACCTTTCGCACTCCCCTCAGCCCTTTCTACCTCAATCTCTTGCTGCCCTCTACCCTTTCACCATCCACTGCCCCGCTGTTCTCCGTAACCTATTACTCATCCATCTCCCTTTTGCCACCTGATACCCTCGCTTCCTTCCTGCCCTGCAGCGCTGTATAGCCCTTGTGGCTTAGCGCTTCTTTTTTATTATAATAATAATAATAATATCTGTTTCTGTAATATGTTTTCCATTTTATCACGTGAGACCATGAAAACAAGAATACAATGATAAATACTATACAAAAATACACCTCAGAGTCGGTGTTTTTAATCCAAAAAAATGGTCAGTTTTTTTTCTCATTATGCACTGCGTGCTGCAGAATTTTTTTTATGTGGTGCACACTGACCACACAGACCCATTCTCTCACATGTGGCCCTACCAGCTTTCTCCTGCTTGATTTGAAGCTGCTAGAATTTATGTGTATTAATACGTCCGAAACACTGGCTCGTAAGACGTATATATACGACCAAAACAGTCAAAGGGTTAAATGAAACAGTTGTGTCTGTACTGTAATGAGGAAGAACTTGTGGAAAGGTTGAGAAATACCTTGACTTCTTTCACAGTACTTTCCCTACACACACAAGAATTATTGGGACATTGCTCTCAACAAAGAATATAAAATACAGATGACAATCATAATAAACACAGGTTACATTCCTGAAAAACCACAATACTGAGTTTCACGACTCATGAACTGAAAAGCATATGGAAAAAAATAGGGATGTGTTCTTCACACCTAGACAGCTTAAATTTTTTTTAGATGTTATAAAAACAATAGTTTTTTCTTACCTAACATTATTGATGATACTCTATGAAATACCTGAACTCTAGTGAGGTTCAGAAAGTTAAAAGAAAGAACATTAACTAAAAAAAATATGGTTACATTAACAATTGTTATTATTTGTTACTTGCCTTCAAGTTGAATTGAGGATGCTTAATATGCTGGAGTGGAGAGGGTGGCTGTGGACCTATTCCTCATTGATGTCACTGTGTCACACTGAGGGTTCTTCATTGCACAAGACCTTATCTTTACCTCATTATCTTAAATTGACTGAATCATTGATTCTCTTAACACCAAACACTCTAGTTATCTCCACCTTTCAGCATCTCAGTTACCTCCATTTTTTTTTTTTTTTAATAGGCATAGCTTCATAGTTTAACTCTTTCATAAGCCTCTTTATAATGCTGCCTGCTATTCATGAACCCTGTTTGTAATGATGCATAATTTTTTTGATCCTCTAATACTTCTTTACTCTTGTAAACCCCTTTATCTGTAATACTATCTCCATTTTCAAAAACCTTTCTCTGTAATTCTCCTTTTTTTCCTGATCACATTACTGCAATTTTCCCACCCTCTTCCAAGTCTACCAATGTAATGCTTTCTTTCCTTAACATTTATCTGTAATGTAGCCTTCCAGGCCCGGTGGCCTGGTGGCTAAAGCTCCCGCTTCACACACGGAGGGCCCGGGTTCGATTCCCGGCGGGTGGAAACATTCGACACGTTTCCTTACACCTGTTGTCCTGTTCACCTAGCAGCAAATAGGTACCTGGGTGTTAGTCGACTGGTGTGGGTCGCATCCTGGGGGACAAGATTAAGGACCCCAATGGAAATAAGTTAGACAGTCCTCGATGACGCACTGACTTTCTTGGGTTATCCTGGGTGGCTAACCCTCCGGGGTTAAAAATCCGAACGAAATCTTATCTTATCTTATCTTCCCTGGTGGTCTGGTGGATAATGCTCTCACTTCACACTGAGAAGGTCTGGGTTTGATTCCCGGTGAATGTAGAAACATTGGGCATGTTTCTTTACACCAGTTTCTATGTTCCCCATCAGTAAAATGGGTTCCTGGGTGTTAGTCGACTGGTGTGGGTCACATCCTTGGACAAAACTGACCTAATTTGCCAGAAATGCTCTGCATAACAAGCGGCTTTCTATATAGCAGTATATCACTGATGTCAGCTAGGACTGTATACCTTGTACATGTACTTGTAGAAATAAAGATATTATTATTATTATAATATATAGAAATGTTAAAAGCAGGTGGGGATATAGTTTTGGAGTGGTTGGTGCAATTATTTAATAAATGTATGGAAGAGGGTAAGGTACCTAGGGATTGGCAGAGAGCGTGCATAGTTCCTTTGTATAAAGGCAAAGGGGATAAAAGAGAGTGCAAAAATTATAGGGGGATAAGTCTGTTGAGTATACCTGGTAAAGTGTATGGTAGAGTTATTATTGAAAGAATTAAGAGTAAGACAGAGAATAGGATAGGAGATGAACAAGGAGGCTTTAGGAAAGGAAGGGGGTGTGTGGACCAGGTGTTTACAGTGAAACATATAATTGAACAGTATTTAGATAAGGCTAAAGAGGTTTTTGTGGCATTTATGGATTTGGAAAAGGCATATGACAGGGTGGATAGGGGCGCAATGTGGCAGATGTTGCAGGTGTATGGTGTAGGAGGTAGGTTACTGAAAGCAGTGAAGAGTTTTTACGAGGATAGTGAGGCTCAAGTTAGAGTATGTAGGAAAGAGGGAGATTATTTCCCAGTAAAAGTAGGCCTTAGACAAGGATGTGTGATGTCACCGTGGTTGTTAATATATTTATAGATTGGGTTGTAAGAGAAGTAAATGTGAGGGTTTGGCAAGAGGCGTGGATTAAAGATAAAGATACACTGAATGGGAGTTGTCATAGTTGCTCTTTGCTGATGACACTGCTCTTGGGAGATTCTGAAGAGAAGTTGCAGAGGTTGGTGGATAAATTTTGGTAGGGTATGCAAAAGAAGAAAATTAAAAGTAAATACAGGAAAGAGAAAGATTATGAGGATAACAAAAAGATTAGATGATGAAAGATTGGATATCAGATTGGAGGGAGAGGAGTATGGAGGAGGTGAATGTACTCAAGATATTTTGGAGTGGACGTGTCAGCGGATGGGTCTATGAAAGATGAGGTGAATCATAGAATTGATGAGGGGAAAAGGGTGAGCGGTGCACTTAGGGTCTGTGGAGACAAAGAATTTTGTCCTTGGAAGAAAAGAGGGGAATGTATGAGAGCATAGTTTTACCAATGCTCTTTATGGGTGTGAAGCTTTGGGTGATGAATGTTGCAGCAAGGAAAAGGCTGGAGGCAGTGGAGATGTTAAGTCTGAGGGCAATGTGGGGTGTGAATATAATGCAGAGGAATTCGTAGTTTGGAAGTTAGGAGGGGTGGGGGGGATTTACCAAAATGTTGTCCAGAGGGCTGAGGAAGGGTTGTTGAGGTGGTTTGGACATGTAGAGAGAATGGAGCAAAACGAATGACTTCAAGAGTGTATCAGTCTGTAGTGGAAGGAAGGCGGGTAGGGGTCGGCCTAGGAAAGGTTGGAGGGAGGGGGTAAAGGAGGTTTTGTGTGGAGGGGCTGGGAACTTCCAGCAGGCATGCGTGAGCGTGTTTGATAGGAGTGAATGGAGACGAATGGTTTTTAATACTTGACGTGCTGTTGGAGTGTGAGCAAAGTAACATTTATGAAGGGATTCAGGGAAACCGGCAGGCCGGACTTGAGTCCTGGAGATGGGAAGTACAGTGCCTGCACTCTGAAGGAGGGGTGTTAATGTTGCAGTTTAAAAACTGTAGTGTAAAGCAACCTTCTGGCAAGACAGTGATGGAGTGAATGATGGTGAAAGTTTTTCTTTTTCGGGCCACCCTGCCTTGTTGGGAATCGGCCAGTGTGTTAATAAAAAAAAAATATTTCTATTTCTGTTCACACATTTTTTTATTTCATCCTTTTTTTTCCTATTGAAGAATTTTTGTGTGAGTACATGTGATTCCCCTCGAGGTACTGCTTGCCATTTTCATTCAGTAAATATCTGTCTCTTGTTGTTAAGATCACCATAACTTACACAGTATTGAGACCCATTTCCCATCATCTGAGAATGAAATATTGCCCAGAGATGGGCAATATATCATGCATGGCTTCCATTATCTATCTGGTAATCCTTGCAAACATTCTACATGAATATGCTAATGTAACCAAATACATACGTAATTACAGTATATTGTATGTATTGTACAAACATCATATAACTTTTAGTGCATATTCTTCGAGCAAAAAAATGCTTTAAAAATAACACAAAAACAAATTGATATATACCTGTACTCTTTAATATATTCTTACTCTAGTAAAACTAAATAAATGATATCAAGTGTTGATTATATCACTATGAGAAATATGTGATGAAGCTTACCTGCCCCATAAATTCTTGAAGGTAATTTTCAGTGGTGGTGGACCAGAAGGTGTTCTTGCCACTGGCCTGGCAGTTGTTAGGAAGGAAGGAGTGTTGTGGCGACGAGGGAATACCAGACCTTTAGACTTTGTTGTTGTTGTAGTGGGTTCTTCTGTGGTAGATTGTACAGGTGTTGATGTATTATCAGATGATTCTTTGTAACCAGGGGGTAAAAACTTGGATACATCAACAGTTTTTATCACTGGACTTTTCTCTGTGATAGTCTCTTCTGTGGGCTTTAAATCTGGGGACAGGAATTTGGATATATCGACAGTTTCAGTCACTGAAGTCTTCTGTTCTGTGGGTTTCTCATCAAGTTTAAACCCAGGTGGCAAGAACTTGGAAACATCCACAGTTTTTATTATTGGGCTTTTCTGTGAAGTTTCTTCTGATACAGTAAAACCTGGAAGCAAAACACTAGAAGGTTCATTAGTTGTCACTTCAAGGACTGTTTTGGTTGACCTTTCAGTTGGTGGTTCTTCTGATGGTGTAAAACCTGGAGGTAAGAATGCAGATGGCTCAACTGTCTTTATTTCGGGCATCTGCTTGGTTGAACTCTCACTTGGTGGTACTTCTGATGGTGTATAACCTGGAGGCAAAAATGAAGAGGGATCTACTGTCTTTACTTCAGGAATCTTCTTGGTTGTGCTTTCAGTTAGTGGCTCCTCTGATGTTGTATAACCTGGAGGCAAAAATGAGGAGGGATCTGCTGTCTTTATTTCAGGAATTTTTATGGTTGAACTCTCACGTAATGGCTCTTCTGATGGTGTGTAACCTGGAGGCAAGAATGAAGAGGGATCTGCTGTCTTTATTTCAGGAATTTTCTTGGTTGAACTTTCAACTGGTTTCTCTGATGGTTTATAACCTGGAGGCAAAAATGCAGAGGGATCAACAGTTTTTATAGCAGGACTTGATGTTGTTAAAGATATAGGTGGAGGTTTTTCTGAGGAAAAATATATTGAATGCAAGAATGCAGACATATCAGCAGATGGGATTTGCTTTGTTGTGGTGTACACTGGGGGTTCTGCTGATGGCTCAAATCCAGGAGGTAAGAAGGAAGATTCGTCTACTACTTTAATACTGCTAAGCAAATCATCTTGAGCTTTTGTTGTAGACTGATCAGTTGTAGTCTTAATAGCGGAAAAAAGATCAAACAAAGATGTTTGTGAGGTGGTGCTCATCTTTGTGGTAGTAGACAGAAGGCTCCTGTCAGTTGCTTCTTCAACTAAAGATGGATCAAACAAATCTTCCAATCTGAGTCCCACAGAGCTAGAGGATGGTGTGGTCGTTGACAAAGTAGAAGTGGAACTGGTGCTTGGTTCTTCAGTGAGATCCTCTTCTGGTTTATATCTTGGAGGCAAGAACAGTGATATATCCTTCACATTATCATCTAACAGACTGTCCAGTTTGGCATCAGTAGCAGTTACAGTTTGATTTTTAGTATTGATTTCAATATCAAAGAGTGTCTCAATACGAGGTGCATCATTAGGATATGTTATTTTTGGTGGCTCTTGAGGAGGGCTGATGTCCTTTTCTGAAACACCTGAATCACTGTTGTCACTGGAAAGAAAGTTATCCAATCGTTTAGGTGGTCGTACAGCAGATGGTGTAGTGGATGGGCCAGCAATGATGGCTGGAGCTGCATCAACAGTCTCATATATATCAGAGAGAGATCGGCGGGTAGTGGTTTCTGGCGGTTGCTCAGTAGTTTCTGGAGGTGGGGTAGTGGTTATAAAGAAAGACATGATGGTAGAGAGAGATGCAGGTGGCATGTTAGTAGTAGGAACAGGGTTCTCGCCAACACTGACACTGTGGGAGGTTTGTACAGAAGCCACAATCACTGAACTCTCTGTAGAGTTTGTAACACGTACCTCAACATTTCTCCTGGTACCTTCATTAACAGTAGGAATGAATGCAGTTTTAAAATTTTCTGTCAAAACACGAGCATCACGATTGTTGCTGCTAGTGTTAGAGAGGTTATTTGTAATGGGTGGAGCAGGATCACCCTGTGATTCTACCTTCAGCTTTGCAATGAGTTCAGACAAAGAAGAGTACCGACCAGGAGAACCATTTGCACTTCCCTTGTCAGGTCGAGTTTGTCTGTCTGGAATGACTGGTGGTCTTGTGGGCTTTATTTCTCTTTCTGGTAATGAAGAAACCCTGAAAGGATTTGCAGTAGTGATCTGAGAGCTGTAACGTGTGGGCTCAACCTCAAAAGCTCTGGAAGGTGAAGGTTGAGATGGCGGGTCAAGGGGTCCTAGATCAACAGCAGTGCCTTCTTCAGTGGCATTGGCATCTCCATAGTAATCATAATAGTACTCATCATAGTCATAATAATCATTATTTGCAGTATCATCAGAAAATGCATTTTCAACATCAGCATGTGGTTTGGTTGGTATGGATGTGGTGTACTTAATATTCAGAACTGGATTACTCTTGGTCTTTGGTGTAGTGGCTAAAGTAGATGGGAGAGTAATAGCAGCTCCTGGGAAGGGCAACAGAGGTCGACGGACACGCTCCACGCGATCCTAGAAAACGAAATTCATGTTACAAATTCATGTAAACACTCATTATTTAAACACAATACGCAGAAATTCTAATAAATGTCAGTGCTCCAAATATTAAAAAAAAAAAAATGAAAAATATGTAAACTGTTGAAGCATTAGAGATGCTGCCATATAAAATTTCAAAGTAAAATAATGATCCCCATAAATTATTTCCTCATATGTTATATGAAAACTTTTAAAAGTGCAAAGAAAATTTTTAAACTTGAAACTAGTGCATATTACTAAATTTAATTGGGGTATATTATACTAAGAAACCATACCATGAGCGGGGATAGAACCCACAATCAGCGAGTCTCAAAACTCCAGACCGTCGCGGGCTCTATCCCTGCCTGTGGTATGGTTTGTTTGTAGTCGTGTCATTATGATTTCGTGAGTCGTATTGTACTAAGGACAGGAAGCCTTTAATTAGCTTTAGGTCTCACTAATCCAGGGCAAAACTATATGCAAGCAATAATAGCTGTAAGTCATAATCCAGCCCATCCTTCAGCCCTTGGAATGTTCATGAGAAAATGAAGACTTCAAACTTTATGTACTATACTGCAGTGTGGTAACTGACTTGGCATCATGCCTAACAGACATGGTCAATATCTTTGCACTTAGGGTTGGAGCATGTGTGTTATGAACTCTGTTACCCACTGAGTTTACTTATATACGAAATCATTCATGCTGGGGAATGGAAATACTAAAGGATGACACCATGAAGGGAGAGAGTACAGAACTTCTACAAGACATCTGAGTTCATTCATTCACAAAGATCAATATATTCATGGGAAACACTTAGGATTACTCAAGTGAGTAATGCTATTCATCACTGATGTGCAAAGACGAGAGAGAAGATTAATAGGAGGGAAGGGAGGTGGGAAGGTGAAAGTGTTGAGAAAAGGCCATCAGAAGAAAGATTGAGGCAACAAATTAATGTTAGTTAAGATTTTAAATGTGGATATAGTGTTGACTAAATAGAAAGTATTTTAGTTTTGGGAGCAGGTCAAATGTTATTTGCCAGAGAAAATAAACTAATATTTTTATTTACCTTCACTTGATTTATTAAATTTTAGCATTGGATAACACAAAATTTACCTATACATAATTTTATTTACAAAATTACACACACTTAAAATTACTGAGACAATGGTTTTAAGGTTTAAGATCCAGCTTTAGACTTTGTGCATTCTAATTTCTTCACATGAAATGACTATATCTTTATTAACTACTTTTAAACTTAATTTACAAAAAATTCATAAAAATAATTATATTTTGGTAAGCACATGTTTAATTACAGTACCCAATTGTTGGCATAGAAGCAGATCCATGCTAGTAGTGCCATGACATCTATATTTAATACATCGTATAATATACAATTCAAATTACTGGTTGTAGCATTCACTACCTCATTTTATTCCTCATTAGAATCTGATGTTTTAACACACTGTGAAGAAGAAATTCCTAGTATCCTTTTGGTACCTCTTCCTCAAAAAATGGTTATAAGTGTAACTTAATTTTTAAAAGAGGTGGAAGGGTAAGCCAGGAAAAGTCCTCAGTCAGATAGTCAAAAGCTCAAGGTGCGAATCATCATATGACTAAGACCCACATCAGGAAACAATGGACACAAAGGACCCCAATGGAAATAAGTCACTCTGTCTGCCTTTTTTGGGTTATCCTAGGTACTTTACACATATGCTGCTCTGTATGATAATTCTATGTAACTATTTGTGTATACCTGAATAAACTTACTTAGTCCTGTTTCCTGACAAAACTTATCTAACTTAAACTCTTCTTCATGGGTATACAACAGTGGTCTCAAGTTCTCTGCTGGTATATCAAGAAGCCTTTCTTTTTTCATTTTGCCCATACTGTACTTTTATTAACATTATATGTTGTTATTGTCTCCTATTTTCTTTATATTACTCTATGAGAGCACATATGTGTTTACAGCCTTTTTTTTTTTTTTTCTTGACTTTTTTTTTTTTCACTCTGGTACCAATTTGTAGTTCATCATTAGAAATCTTACAGCTTGTGGCAGTACCTAGATGGGAGAGGCATAGCTGAGAGTGATAGGTATGCCTGAGAGGTGTGTGACTAAGAGTGAGAGGTGTGCCTGAGAGTGAGAGGTGTGCCTGAGAGTGAGTGAGAGGCATAGCTGAGAGCGAGAGATGAGTGAGAGTGAGATGTATGCTTGAGAGTGAAGTGTGGCTGAGAGTGAAATGCAGTAAGAAGAGTAGCTGAAAGTGACAGGTGTGGTTGTTATGCTAGGTGTCTATCAACACATTCTCATAGCACAAAAAGGTACTTAAAATTAGAATAGTGATAAGTACATTTTACCATCCTTCAGACAGTTTGCTTGTACATGTGTGTATGAGTGTGGTGATGGAATACTGGGTAATTTTTGCCAGGGTAGTTAGTATATGTAAAACTTTTTATTTTGTATAATTTTCCATTCAGAATTTAAAATAAATACCAGATGTATTTTGATGCTGGATAAATAGGTAAAAATTGTCAACGCTCCTTTATTTTGAAGTTATGCTTATGAAAATTTCCTCTTGGTGTGACATCAGAAGTTTCTCCCTCCAAGGTGAGGTAAATGTCAGCCAGTGGGCCACTCAAAACAATGAAGAGAAATTTCAACTATTCAGATATGGAAAACTTGAGGAAATTAAAACTGAATCAGGGTATACAACAAATTCTAACCATACAAAAAGAGCAAAAAAGTAACGTGAAGGACCTGGGAGTGATAATGTCAGAGGATCTCACCCTCAAAGACCACAACAATGTATCTACCGCATCTGCTAGGAAAATGATAGGATGGATAATGAGAACCTTCAAAACTAGGGACGCCAAGTCCATGATGATTCTCTTCAAATCGCTTGTTCTCTCTAGGCTGGTCGGTATGTAATACCGACAAGATGATATTTAGACACGTGCAGTATCTGAGTACCGTTATTGTAGACGTTTCGGCATCCAGTGGCTTTATCAATACAAATTCTAGGACATACTTTGAAGACAGTAGAACTATATACAGAAAATGAGGTAATCAGTCCCTCAGCCTTGGAGTTGGTGTGGAGAGCACCGTGGTCGTGGAGATTCTGGAGCATAGGCAAGGAGGTCGGCGCTTATATACTAATGCCAGGTGAAAAGGGACATGTAGCAGACAAGGGCATAGTCACTGGTAGGCAGGATTCCCCAGTGGAAGTAGATCAGACCCAAAGAGGACATGTACATAACCTACTTCTACAACTAACCCCCTCTTCAAGGGGGGCTCCTTGGCGTGGTGAAGAGGCTCTTGGTCTGAGGAATTAGACCTATCGGTCTACTTCCTCAGACCGAACCTAATTACCCCCCAATCCCCCGTTCCCTATCCCACCCTCCCCTTTTTCCTTTCCTCCTCCTCCTCCCCACCCCTCCCTTTTGCCCTTCCTTTTTGGCCTTTTTTCTTTTGTTTTTTTTTCCACAGGCACGCTAGTTCCTAGGTAGGGGAAAGGGTACCGGGGTCCATCCCATTCCGTTGAGGTTCTTGGCGGTGGCGTAGTTTGCCGTGGAATCTGGATTGCCTGGGGATGTCCTCTCCGGTATCCCAGAGGGTGGCTTTGGGTGTCTCTCGGGCGACGGGTGTATCTCTGGAAGCCACCTTTCGGATTCCGGGGGTGGTGGCCGAAGGAGGTATGCTTTGTGATGGATTTCCGGCCGCCCTCTCTTTTGTCCACCGAGGTAGCTCGGCAGATGTGAGGTTGCTATCCCGGATTGCCAGTTTACTGGCATGATGGGTAGGGTATGGCACGGGTTCCATGCTGCATCTGCGCTGCTTGTGGTGCTGAGGTCCTCTTGGGCGCGGAGGGAGATTTCTGGCCCTTTCATTCCTCCTAGGAACTATCCCTCCCCGGTCCCCCCTTTTTTTATTCTTTTTTTTCTTTTCTTTTCTTTTTTTTTCTTAAAAACAAAAAGAAAGAAGTAACCTAACCATGGCAGCCCTAGTCCATGAACCTGCTACCCCCGGGCCCCTTCTTGATACCGCACCCCGTTCTGACCCCGCCCCGTCTTTGGACCACTCTTCGGACACTCCTCATGCCTCTGTACCTCTTGCCGGTACTGTTTCCTCACCCGCTTCAGGTGCTGAGGCCTCGACTGACTCCTTTGATTTATCTGACCTTCGCTCTCCTCTGACTATGCTTCCGGCCTCTCCCTCTACGGTGCGGCAATTTTCAAATCGCCGGCCCGTTCCATGTCGGACCAACTCTGGTCCCACGCCTAAACGACAACGACAATTACCTGCTGATGATACTTCTCCACCTTCTCGTTCTCCTCAGAAAAGATCGACACGTCCTTCACTACCTCTCCATGCTCAGTTTCAGACTGCACAATGGACTAAATTCTTCACTTTACGACCGACTTCCTCTACTGCCTATCTGACCACAGTATTGGCAAGGCACTCCTACGCCATGTTGGTAAAGATATTTCTTTTCATGCTCTTAAGAGCGGTACGCGCATCGTCACCGTACACAATGCTACCCAGGCTCACGAGCTTTCTCGTCTTTCCCATATTGATACTGTTCCTGTAACTATTGAAAAGCATCATTCCCTCAATTTTTGTAGTGGAACCATCATTCTGCCCCATACCATAGTTCAACAAAATTTCCAGACATGTGGCACTGGCATTCTTGAACAGCTGGAACTCCAAGATCTCCCAATCCTCAAGGTAGACACTTACGTTCTTCCTGCCCGCGGGCGGAGACGATACCCTAGCAATGTGGCTCGTTTAACTTTTGACAGCCGTGAACTCCCATCCTCAGTTTATGTAGCAGGACATCGGTTACAAGTTCGAAAGGTGATCCCTACACCGCAACATTGTAGAAATTGCTGGCGATTTGGCCATCCAGCGAAATACTGCAGATCTATCGCCGAATGCCCAGTCTGTGGTGCCGATGACCATTCTAATACGTCTTGCAATCGACCTCCCTCTTACCTTAATT